TGGGGTCCCCCCAAAAGCGGGCGGCTGTCGGGGGAGAGGCGAGAGACGGTGGAGCAGCTCGGCCTGGTCGCCGCTGCCAGAAGGGATTACGGCTGAGCTGGGTTTTAACGTCATAAAAAATAAATAATAAAAATCCCCCCGACGACTGGCCTCTCTCACATCCCCTAGAGGAGTTTAAATAACAGAACTGAACGCAGAAATGCCAAATTGTGAACACGCGGCAAGAATACCGACATTTTAAGCGCTGCCCGGGGGGCCGGAGCCTTCCTCACCTGGGCACCAGCAGCTCTCCCCGGCTCTAGCAGGGTCCAGCTACGAAATGGAGGGGGGAGAGGCAGAAAAAGGGAAACGAGGAACAAAAAAACTGGCCTCGAGCAATTAATTGATCATCAGATCCGACTGTAAGAACGATTCAGTAAGTCTTAGCTTCTTTTCACACTACTTCATTTAGGTTTTAAAAGTAAAGCACAGTTACTCCCCAGCGTTTTGTAAGACACGGTGAGCTGGCGGTGTAATTCAGGAGCATGGCGCACCCAGCTCCTCCCCTCGGGGAGCATTTTACATCAGTCAATCCTACAGTGAAATACACTTATTTAACAAGACATGCATTTGTTAAAAAAGGTATGAGGGAACTCCAGAAAGCTCTGGATGCCCCGGGCCCCCACATCTAAATAGAGGCCAGTCTTTGGAACACTTACATTTCTTAAATTAAAAAAAAAAAAAAAGAGTTAAATTCCCTCCTATTCCCTCCTAGGGACATGCACGCCTCTCAGTGAAGCCAGCAGGAGCAGTGCACACTTACTCAGAAGAGACTGCTGCTTTAAATCATTCCTGTTACATCTCACATGCATAAACACACAGCCCAGTGACAGCTGTAGTACCCTGGTTTTCTGTTGTTAGAGGCAGGGCTGGTTCGTTCCCAAAAGGAGAGACACACACCCAGGCAGGAGAAAAGCCTGACAGCTTTGACTCCAACCCCAAACGAGAAGCAGCATTAAAGATAACCAGTTGTATTCACCATCACCCATCTCAACACCTCACCTGTGCTGCTGTCATCTCAACTGTTCACACAGGGTCTGCCAGCCCCCCCACCACCTCCAACCGCCCAGCCAGGGATCGGCACCCGGTCTGTCAGACAGCACCCTCACCGCCCGCCCGCGCTCTCCTCCCTGCAGAGGGGCTCTGCGCCCACCTGGATGTGAAACCCGCTGCTGGTGCCGGCTCCCACACCCCTGGCATCCCCCCTGGCCGCAGCCACCTTCCCCGCTGCCTGCTCCTGCTGCCCACCCCTGAGCTCTCACCTGCCCATCTCCAGAAGGGACCCACGCCTCCTTTTGCTCCTAAAAACGTTCGGGGCTGTAGCTATGGGGAAGGGTTCACAGGTCACACGTGAAGGCCCACACACGTGGTTCTCCTCCAGAAAAAAAGAAAGAGATGGTAATACAGATTAGAAGAATGGGTTTAGTTTTGTAAAACCCGGTGAGGTGTACAGAGAGCACGGAACAACTGTTGAGGGAACTGGATGGGCAAAGGGCAGGGGGCCATGACGTTCAGATGACCTCGGCAACATTATTATCTCTACAGCCGCAGTACTAACCACTCCTTTGCCACCCGGGTTTTAATCTCTCCGGAACAAGGCCCCGGCCTGACCGCAGTCACCGCGGAAATGGCGGCTCCCGCACTGAGCCCCGCGCCTTGCCGACACCGGGCTGAGGGGCCGCACCGAGGGGGCAGGAGGTCGCCCCGGCGGCCCGGACATCGCCGCTTTCCCCCGGCTCCCGCACCGCGGGAGGGCTGGGCCGGGCCTCAAGCGCAGCGGCGGAGGCCGGGCGGAGCAGCCACCCCCGGAGCGCCGGGGCCGCCCGCCGGGATCGCCGCCCGGGGTGGGGGGGAACGACTACATTTCCCGGCATCCTCTGCTCCGCCGCCGGGCGGGACCGGCCTGGGAAAGCGCCGCTTGCCAGCCGGCGCGGCCGCGGCCCGCGGGGGCGTCGGCCGGGGACTACATCTCCCAGCAGGCAGCGCGCCGCGTCGCTCCAGGCGGGAGAGCCGCGGCGGGGCTGCGGTGCGCGCTGGGACGGGTAGTCCGCGCGGCCGGCGCCCGCGCCTCAGAGCGGCCCGCGCGTCAGGCGGCGCTCTGACCTTGCGGGTTTGTCTGGTCGCGTGTCTCCGCTGCTCCCGGTCCGCCTGCCCCTCACTCGCCGGGAAGATGGCTGCCGTACGCAGGGCCCGCAGTTACTCCCGCTGCGTGGTGCGCTTCTCCGACCGAGAACTCTGCTAATTTCCCCCCGCGGGGAGGACACACGGACCGAGCGGGGGGGGGCAGAGACCCCCGGGACGGGACAGCGCCGCCCGAGCGTTGGCAGCATGGTGAGCGGCCCCGGGCCGGCCGTGCCCTGCTCCCCGTTTGCAGCGCGGCCTGGGGCGGGGAGGGGGGGGGTGGCGAGGCACCGGTCGCCCCGCGGGGAGGCGGTGGCGGTTCGGCCTCCGCGGCAGGTGGGGGCGGAGCGGGGGGACGGGACGGGACCGGGCGGTGGCAGCGGCAAGGGGGGCGTGTGCCCGGGGGCGGGAGGAGCGGCCCCCCCGAGCCGTGCCGCTGCCCGGCAGCCCTGCCCTGTGTGCCTGTGGCCGGGCAGCGAGGGAGGTGTGCCGTGATCCTGGCCGCGATCCCACCCGGGTAGCTGCGCCGCAAGGAGGCACGGCCCCGCCTTCCGCAGAGGGTTTTGGGCTGAGGAGGGGGCTGCTTGATTCAGGACCGATCTAGCTCTCCGTAGAGCCACCTGGACAAATCACTGTGTCCTTACAGATGCGTGTGCCCTACCTTTCTCCTTCTTCGCTCAAAAAACAGATGGCATAAAGTCAGTTGGTAATTTAAACGGCTCCGTGGGCCGGGCACGCTACTTATTTCAGTTTGTGATTTAAGGTATCAGAACTACTGTTTGGCTCAGTATTGCTTTTCTGACTGCATCTCAACATGGATTCAAGTATCCATGATGAGATCCTGATCGTTCAAAGTTAAACCATTTGTTATCATTCAGGAGCTCTTAAGATGCCTTAGCACCGTGATTAAAACTCTCATTTTTGAACACAGTGTTGCTTCTACCACATTGACAGAAAAATGGACCGACTTCCTCATTTACTTAGAAAACCAAGAAGAACATTAGCTGTCGGTCACTGGGTCGCTATGTCGTGCTTGCTTCTCCTTTAGTTCTGTACAGTTCACACATAGCCCTGTTCCACTGGTGACAGTCAACTTTGAGCTGTTTCTGATCTTGGTTTTATTTTGCTGAAACAAAGATCTGAACTATTAAAGGACTTGACATTACAGTTAGTTTAGTAAGTGATTGTTGTGCCTGAGGAAATCCACGTGCAATTATGGATTGCAAAACAATTTAAGCTGTGCAAATAAACTAGTTTTGCATTTGGCAAATAATTTCTAAAGCTTTGCAAACAAATCAGAAATCTACTCAGCTGACTGTTTTTTTACAGGTTGCAGTCTAATTCAGATGTCTACTGTTGACATGCTGACCTTTTAGTGGCTTGACTGGCTAGCACTTTTCTCATGCAAAATTATTTGAGCTGATCGGTACACACTAAGGATGTCTCATGTTCAAGCAGGATAAAGTCACTGTTCCGTGTGACAGCTGGCTTGTAGCAGGAGGAAGACCAGCAGCGTGATGGTGAACAGGCTAGATTTATCCACTAAGTAGCGATTAAAGTACAATGTTCTGTGAGCTTCAGAAACTATAACTACAATTTAAGTATTGTCAGAGTGGGGGCAAGGACCCAATTTTTACAAGTTACAACCTGCTTTAGGTGTGCTCTCATGAGCTGTCTGCTGGTGAACATTCTCATTTGTTCTAGCAAAACCGTAGGGTTTCAGCAGATCAAAAAATAGCGGAAAGGCTGTTAATAGAGATTGGTTTTCCAGTCCAGTCCACTATGCAGTAGCAATGTGAATGAATTGCTTTACGGGTAAATTCAGAGGGATAGTCACTTATGATGCCACTGCTGCCAGAAGATAAACCTTTGATATGAGAGACTCGACACATGCACTCAGGATAGAGGAGTTAATGATGGAAGTCAAAACTTTGGTTTTGTTGTGGTTTAACCCCAGCCAGCAACTAAGCACCACACAGCCGCTCACTCAGTTCCTCCCCACCCAGGGGAATGGGGGAGAGAATCAGGAAGAAAAGTATTAATGGAACAGAAAGGAAGGAAATAATAATGATAATAATAACAGTAATAAAATGACAATAATAATAATGAAAGAATTGGAATACACAAAACAAGTGATGCACAGTGCAATTGCTCACCACTTGCTGACTGATGGCAAGTTTGTTCCCAAGCAGCGATCCCCCCAGGCCAATTCCCCCCAGTTTATATACTGGGCATGA